AAAAAAAAAAAAAAAAAAAAATTGTCATATTCCAACGGAAAATCCTACTGTAATATATTCAAATGGAAATTTCTATGAATATTCCAATGGTATAGCTTCTGTTGGAATGATTCCAACGAAAATTCCAACAAAATTGTTCCGTTGGAATATGAGCTTTCCATTGGAATTTAGATGGAATTTTATCATTTCAACGGCCATTATTCTCCAACGGTTTTTTACCCTAAGAATTTCTATTGGAATATACAATTTTTGTTGAAATTTTTATTTTCACTCATATTTCAATTGTTGGAAAATGTAACGTTGTGATCGTCAAAATCCAACATAAATTCCAATGGAAAATTCAATCCAACATAATATTTTTGTTGAAATTTCCGTCGGAATCCGTTGAAATATTCCAACGAAAATAATAGCATTGGAATATCCATTGAAATTTTCGTTGGAACTCCATTGAAATATATTTCTGTTGGAATTTTATATTGGAATTTCATCACATTCTCATAGTAGTTATTGAACCTTTTTTCCTTTTTTTTTGGCAACGTCGTAGTAGTACTTTAAAATAACACGACAGTTTTGTATATGTGACAATATATATCATTCAACTCGCCTACTATAATATTATCACTATCAAAGATATTGACATAAATATTATTTAGTTACTAATTAATTATTAGCCTTAGTTCACATTTCAACTTACTTTCACAATACAATTTTTGAACGTCCACAATGGCTTATAAGCAATTACATTTATTTCTTTTTACATACATTTAGTTCTTCTTCCTAGAAGCACACAATAAATTTATGCATATACTTCCAAGTATTGTACAGTCATACTATTTAAATTGAGACATTCATGAATTAATCATCCCCAATAGAAAAAATTACTATCAATCTTCAAAATTAGAATAAATGCATAGAGTAGATATACCAGTTACGTATTATAGTACGTTGGGTCAATTTTTTTTATATAGATAAAGATATTCTTTTCTACCTTATTTTTCATCCTGCCCTACATACATTTAATTTTGAATACTATCATTTATGGTATACCTAAATCAGCTAGGAGATTAGGTCAGACTGATTTATTTTTATTTTTTATTTTTATATATATTATTGAAATTGGGGTGGTAAAAGAGAGATGGTTTAGATGATTGATTATTGTAATTTCCAAGACAATTTCATCATATGAGATGACAATGTGCAATTCTTACAAAAATAAATAATTCTTTTGAGATCCTTTGTATTCTAGCAAGACTTGTGGGAAGAAAGAAAAAGAAACAAAATATACTATGAAAAGTTAATACATAAATTATTCTTTTACTATTATTAAAACACAAATATTACTGTTAGGCTGCCTAATTATTAGGTACTCATACTTATTTTCCAAAAAAAAATGTGTATACTTTTATTATAAAATCTTACAATTATGTTTATATTGTATTTTACGACATTTCATTTACGTAAGTTTGATGAAAGAGTATGACTATCTATTATCTAATAGTTAGACAGTTCAACAGAAGAGCAAATGAGTAATGTACTTTTTTATTGTGTATACTTGGTGACTCTTCAGTAGACCTAATCCCACTGGTGATTGCACTGTAGTTATCGAGTTTTTCATCGTTAGATCAACACACGCTTATGTGTGATGTGTGTTGATCCAACGATGAATAAATCGATGCTACACTGTAGTTACAGTAGGATATAGAATCTTCATTTTGATCAACTCTCTATACAAAACATATTAGTTTTTTTTAATGTATAGGTTGATAGGCAATTGTTTGGTTATATGATATGAGCATTATTTACTAATTATATATTACAATCATGCAAATTATAGTCAGATTGGAGTCGTTGGCTTGTTGCTTGAAATATTCACGCTCGGTGATAAGTGATTAGGTTCGTTTGGCCTTTCTTGTCTTTTAATGTGGTGTTGAAAATCTCCTAAAATTAGATGGAGCTTTCAATTTCTTGGTGTATTTGTAGAGCAAATTCAGTCCACGACGAATACAAACAATCTATTATAGGATTTAGATTTCAAACGAAAATTCTTATGTCACCAAATAAATAATTATTGTAAATCCCAAATTGAAATTGAAATTTCAACAATGATTAGAGAAAAAAAAAAAAAAAAAAAATGGCTTCATTGCATTTATAGTTGTTAAATAAATGAGCCCATTTGTGAATTCAACCCGCCTTATTTGATAAACTGGTCGAGCTTGAGTCCTTAAAGCTTACATAATTAGCAAGCCAAGCTCTTTTTGTTAAGACTCGAAAAATGGGATTTTTATATAATTTTCATAGTTATACTCAGCTTGATAAACGAATCGAGCTTGACTCATTAATATTAATAAATAAACAAACCTCAAGTTCATCTATTGACTAGGCTTAAGCTCGAATATCGACTTGTTCACTCTTCTGACTATATTTAACAAATGGTATATAAAATTATAAATAGATATTATTTATATCTTGAGCTCAATCTTTTTAAATGGAATTTCTCCTACTATGTATACTTTAAAATTTTAGTCCTCAAATTCAACTAACATTTTAATCACCTGCATGAAATCCTTGCCTAGCCCACCTATGCACTTTATTAATAATTAAAAATTGTGAATTACATCAAATTGGTTACAAGCTCCTCCACTGAACTAAGTACTGATAATTAAGGGCTAATTAAAATGCCATTAAAGCCTATAGTTCGAATTTAATCATGCTTTTAGCTTATTCATTTCTATGGTTGACAATTATCTCATATTTTGACCGTGACAGAACAAAATTTATTGCATCTTGAAAGTGTGGTTGGGTAGAGCAAATGTCTCAGTTTTAAGCAAGAAACACCCAAAAACACGCACAAAAAGAACACAAACAAAGATTATAAATGCCACAAAGAAAAGGGGTCACAACTTTTTGCCCTTTTTCCAATTGTGTTAGGTAGAAACATTGGAAGGTTCCATGAGATATATTTCTTCCAGTTTTTTCTAATAATTATAACAATTATTTAACCCCAAAGGTCTTATACTGTTATATTTTTTCAATATATATATATATATATATATATATATATATATATAGATATATATATTAATTTGAAGTGTTATATTCTAAAAAACAAAATAAATAAAAGTATACATTTTTGTTACAGATGTATGACAAATCAATTCGTCTATTGATTAGTCTATCGCTCACACAAAATTTTTTGTTTGAATTTATTTCATTCTCCAATCTTTGCATTTCGTGCTTTTTTGAATAAATATACATACTTAGAGCATCTTCAATGCCAAAATGTAGTTGTAGTAAATTACACTTTATATTAACAAATGTAGCAATGTCTCCACTTTTAATCCTACAATGCACGATGTAATCACAAATGTAGTGATGAGATGAACATAATTAATTTATACAATGTAGAGAAGAATGTGGATCATCCACATTCTAATCAACCAATTGAGATAAGAGAGAGAAATATTATTATCATTTCAAAATATCTATTTAATTTTTTTTGTTTCTTATTTATAATTTTTCTATTTTTGTCAAGTAGACAATATTATGTTTGATCACATTGTACATTGTAGATAATTTTTAATTTAGATTTAAAGTTGTGAACTTAACAAATATCTTATGTAGTTCACAATTTATCTAAATAATTGATTGTCAGAATTTATGTGATACCAACATTTTTGCATTGGAAATTCTTTTATATTGTGAGACGTAGTATCTTTATGTTTTGTTTTATATGTTAATATATAAATATATCGGGCTAACATCAATATTACTCAATATTCCACCCAAATAACATAGTACTATTCTAATCATCCAACATTATTGTAACTCATTGATGAGCACAACATATCTCTACATATACAGATATACTAACATTAGAAATCATTTAAAAAAAATATATATATAGAGATATATAATCTTACTTCATACTTGTGTGACAATGACATATTAGAGAGTTAAATTAAGCATGCAAATAATTATTGAGGGTAAATGTCTGCCAACCACAAATTTCCTATTTGCGTTTGGCCATGACGTGATCATCATTATTGTTATTATTTGTTTATATTTTTGAAGTAAAATGATCATGCATAAGTTAATTTTTCAATTTTTTTCTTTAAACTTATGTGACAACTGAGTGATGATAGAACTCGATAGAATAAGTCAACGATAATATTTAGATTTGAGTTTGGTATTTTATCACTCAAAAGTCAAAATATGTGACATGAGTAATTACTAATTAGTGTAATTGATGTTTAAATTATTTTATTACTTGTTATTAAATTGTCAATTTCGTAAATATGACTATAAAAGAAAAGGAAAAGATAGTTGTACGGAAAAATAAACTGGGCCAAAGTGCCAATTGGAGAGATTAAGAGAGTGTTTATAAAGTTTTTCAATTCATGCATACTCAATTTATACTTAAACTCCAACCCACTATCTTCAATATTATCAATATAATTAAATAATATCAACTAATCATTTTTACGCATCACATCAATTTTAATTTAGATTCATCAACTCATACAATTTTAACTAACCATCAGTTCACATAATCTCTTTCCTACTTTTCATCAAATCAACTTTAATTATTTTATTTTAAATATGATTTTAATATAAAATTAAAACTTCACCTAACAACTAATTATACTACTTTTTTAAAAAAAAAAAAATATTTTGTTTGAACAGATATATATCCAACAAGCCCTAATGCTGGGCTTATAAGTTAAATTTAAGGAAAAGAGTGGGCTCAATGGTTGGTAGCCGCCCAAGGTAGGCCTCTAGTTTGTCCCAGACGGAAAATTGGGCCCCATGAGTCCTATTGCGTTAGAGGCCCATTTGTGATGTTGCTTTGTCATCTATAAATAATTTATACTACTTTACAATTTATAGAGAAAATTACCTAGCGGACGAGTACTTAAGTTTTTCTTTCCTCATTAACGAGATAATATTATCAATACCAAATCTAATTTTACCGTTCCATTTGAACGAAATAGTACTTATCTCAAACCTATTTTTATGTGTTTCTTTTAAATATTAGAATTACTTTTTATTCTCCCGACCCAATTTGTCTCTGGCAAAGTCGAAAAACGAAGAATATCCAAACACGCCCATCATCATCACTTGCAATAGCGCACGCCATAAGGTCCGACGAAGGTGGTCAACGGAGCCGACGTCACAAGAGCTTCTCCGTCTTCGCCACACACCACCGGCCGGAGGTTTTAGCTCTTTCCGAACCGTCGCCAACGTCACCTTCGATTCGAGATCTATTCCATGTCCGGCTCCTTTCTCTCGCCGTCGGTGCCGCCCGCCGCCTTGAGACTCAAAATGTAACCTTGAGATAAAAGTTGTGGTTTACTAATTTAGGGTTTTAGCAAATTTTGATTTGATACGATTTTTTTNAATTTATACTACTTTACAATTTATAGAGAAAATTACCTAGCGGACGAGTACTTAAGTTTTTCTTTCCTCATTAACGAGATAATATTATCAATACCAAATCTAATTTTACCGTTCCATTTGAACAAAATAGTACTTATCTCAAACCTATTTTTATGTGTTTCTTTTAAATATTAGAATTACTTTTTATTCCCCCGACCCAATTTGTCTCGGGCAAAGTCGAAGAACGAAGAATATCCAAACACGCCCATCATCATCACCTGCAATAGCGCACGCCATAAGGTCCGACGAAGGTGGTCAACGGAGCCAACGTCACAAGAGCTTCTCCGTCTTCGCCACGTACCACTGGCCGGAGGTTTTAGCTCTTTTCGAACCGTCGCCAACGTCACCTTCGATTCGAAACCTATTCCATGTCCGGCTCCTTCCTCTCGCCGTCGGTGCCGCCCGCCGCCTTGAGACTCAAAATGTAACCTTGAGATAAAAGTTGTGGTTTACTAATTTAGGGTTTTAGCAAATTTTGATTTGATACGATTTTTTTTTTTTTTTTTTGTGTGTGTGTGTGTGTGTGTTATAGATCTAGTTGCTTTGATTTGTTTTTAATTTCTGCTCAATTTTTCTTTTGGTATTTGAAAGAGACTTAGAATTTTCTGCCCATGAGAGTTTTGATGCGATCCCAATTCCTGGTGAGTTCAAGGATGTATTTATGTTTTTGAAGAATTTTGATAGTTAATTTGATGTTTATAATGATTTGATTATGGTTTTTTTTCTTATCTTATTTTTAGTTTATCTTCAGTTTTCTTTTCATTCGATTTTTTTTATTTAATAAAAAGTAGATAATAAACAGAAGATAAACTTAAAATAAACTTTTAAGATAAATTAAAAACTTAAAATTAGTTTTAAATAAAATTATTTGAGAGTTCTAATAAACACAAGATTTTTTATCTTATTTTTAGTTTACCTTCAGGTTTTTTTGTTCATTCGATTTTTTTTTTATTTAATAAAAAGTAGATAATAAACAGAAGATAAACTTAAAATAAACTTTTAAGATAAATTAAAAACTTAAAATTAGTTTTAAATAAAATTATTTGAGAGTTCTAATAAACACAAGATTTTTTATCTTATTTTTAGTTTACCTTCAGGTTTTTTTGTTCATTCGATTTTTTTTTTATTTAATAAAAAGTAGATAATAAACACAAGATAAACTTAAAATAAACTTTTAAGATAAATTAAAAATAAAATTAGTTTTAAATAAAAGTATTTGAGAGTTGTAATAAACACAAGATAAACTTAAAACTATAAACGAAAAAACTATAAAAGAAAACGTAAGAAGTTTTAAAATAATAAATCAAAAGTTTAAAATTAGTTTTAAATAAATATTCAAGAATTGTAATAAACTCAAGATAAAGTTAAAACCAAAAACACAAAATTTATGCAAGAAAACACTAACCGATTTAAAATTAAAAAGACATTTGGCAATAAAAGTGGCATTGTTTTAAAAGGCTCATATTGTTGGATAACTGTTTTTGAAGAGAAACAAATGTGTCCTTTAGCACAATTTATATGAGTATTTACACAAGATCTTAATTATCCATTAATTTGTTCCACGAGTAGATTTAAACGAGTCAAACCCAAATTCCTAAATTGAGCTCGAGCTCAAGCCATTCACTTAATTTTCTAAACTTTTAACATTCTTCGGCCCGTTAAGAAACTCGAACTTTTATATCCGCCAGTTAACTTAACAAGCGGAGCTCGGCTCATTTAAAACTCGGCCAACTCATCACCAAACAAGATGCAAAAGAACCAATTCCTCTCAACACCT